TCAGTCTCAATGATGAGCAGAGAGCCGTAATCAGAAAACTCTAGCGAGGACAGAAAGAACTTATAAAGTGTACTTACGCAAAGTTCGATAACAACACTTGCATAGAAGACAATTTGCTGCCTACAAATACCAATGTATATAGTCGTGTGTGTGCGTGTGTGTGTGTGTGTGTGTGTGTGTGTGTGTGTGTGTGTGTGTGTGTGTGTGTGTGTGTGTGTGTGTGTGTGTGTGTGTGTGTGTGTGTGTGTGTGTGTGTGTGGTGTGTGTGTGTGTGTGTGTGTGTGTGTTGTGTGTGTGATGTATGTGTGTGAAAGGATCACCCTCCCCCCCCCCCGGCGAACGTGAGTTGGCCATATCAAAGCTAATTTGTGTTTACGCTGGTGTGCAATCCACAGAGTCCTCATACCCCTGTATAGTCCAGAAAAAGCTGGCAATATTTCTGACTGTTGGGTTTAGAAATGGCGGAATGAACTATTGCAAGATAGGTAGCACCGTCGGCTCAAAAGGTGCGGCCATTTAATGCATGGTTCCTATCATCTCGGTAAGTTCTATATGAATATGCAGTTTAACCTTCTGTTGGCTTCTGACTTTTGCCTCAATCAGAGAAGGTATAATTATGCATAAGTGGCCGTCCAAGTGTTACGCCTGGGTTGGTGGATGGGGGAACGATGGAACGTAACATAACAATAAAAAGAGAGGCAAGGGGGAGAGCAGACGGTGTAACGTTGCGCTCAGATTTAATTCCAAAGCATGCCAAATCTTTTTTTAAATTGTTTTGAACCTCTTGCCCATTAAGGGATCAAGAGGACGTTGCTTTTTGGAACTTTACGTTTAACACAACGTAACCAGGGTAGGGCGGGGTCTCATCCCAGCGTAGCCTGCTTGTTAGGGGAGGACCAAGGGAGAGGTCGGGTTGACAAACTAACAAAAATTCATATCACAAATAGTGGGCCGAATTCGGTGCCTTCTTTTTGAGGGGGAGGGGCTTTTCGCAGGTACGGGGACTTGCCAAAACTAGTAGCCCCGTTCGCTGCGTCTCGTGCCATATGCATCTTTGGTTTGGGATGGGTAAATGAGGTAAATGGGCATTGGAGCGGACGATGAAGTTGAAGTTAGATGATTGTTGTAGATGTGCATGACAACAGGGATGATTAATCCGCCTACTTGAAACAAATATGCTATCCGTAAAACGTTGTAATAAAGTAGGTGCGTTTCAAAAACGATTAACTCTTTGCAGATCATATATATATATATATATATATATATATATATATATATATATATATATGTACACGCTTGATTTCAAAGAAAATAAAAACGCATTGGCGTCAGGAGCACTTGATAGTTCTTCAGTTCTGGCGCCCTTGATTCGCTTATTGGCCGCTGCCGTTTCGGTGATAGTGGACGCCGTTTGCGCGCATCGCGACCATATATGAATACGCTGCCTAGTTCGCCTGGTTACGGTTCGACTCGTTAGTGTTATTCACAACTCTCATTGATTAGGGTCGGCTCCGTAAGCGAAAAGTGAAACAATGGATGGGATCAAAGAGCAAGCTCTGGGAATGCCACCCCTGTCGTTAAGTCAGCTAAATGTATAAAAGAAAAACAGGTAGATGGTGGAGATGTGTGAATCAGGCAGTTATTTACCTTCCAGCACAGTGCATAAGGATGGAAATGATGCAGAGGACTCATCTGAATATGTGAGTAGGTGCTGACTGACAACTGGCTAATGGTTACTCATGTGCTTTTCAATACCATGCACCTCGTGGAAGGGCATCTGAACTTGTACCTAGGGCAACTTGGCACAATAAAAGTAGCGGGCAATCTTTGAGTGGTTGCAGAGGTGTAAACACACATTAGTCCCAGGAGAATGTGTCTTCTTCTTACCAAACTGATGACATTTTTTTATATGTATGCAACTGTATGTTAATTGTTAAGGATTTCAGTGAGATACAAAAATAAGGCTGAGAATATCAGTTGTTGTTCCACAACTGATAGGTAATTAACCTGCCCATGGTGTAACTTAAATATGTCTGTTACAATTTTTGAGCTGAGCTTTTTTAGCCATCCCAGTGTGCAATCCTGTGCATGGTCCTGAGTGGGCATAGAACGACTTTGCTGTTGATGTATCCTTTACTACCAAATTAGTCTGAGTTAAGAGGCAAAGAATGATTCAACATTTTCTCTGCTAGGGAATATGGCAGGGTTAAAGATACTTTTGCAATGTTTTTAAGGGAAGATTTCTATCCTGGCCCTGTAATATACCATGGCAGAAGGAGTGGACATGCTTTACCATACTGTTGGCTGTTTGTTTTTTCTGATTGGAAAAGCCATTTGTGGTGTTGTGTCAACACTGAGTGAGGAAAATAACACCATGCTAGAATTACCATGTTTCATTCCAGGTGCTCACCTGCCCAAGCTGTGAACTTTGGTTCTCCTCAAAAGTGGATCTTGATCAACATGAAAAGGAGGAGCATCCCAAGCTGAAGGTATTTATACTATATGGTATGCTTGATGCATCAAGCTGTCATGGGCTTGGCACCTGTCATGTAGTAATAACAAACTTGTATGTTTGACTGTGCAATGACATTTTTGCTTTCTGGCTTTTTACACTAACTAATTTTTGATGACTCATGTGTTAATAACCATGGCACTCAACAGGGTCTCATTAAAGTATTGTTTATAATGCCTTGAATGCCAGTTTGTTAGTTTAAGTATTGCTTCTCCTGTCTGTTTTTCTTACATACTCAGATAACTCAGGAGCCCCAAATTTTTGCACATGTGGCAGTACAATGTTGTGCAGTTTTATGTTTAATTTTGTGCAGTTTTATGATTTTCCACTGTTTAGCATCCACTTAAAATTATCTGACATGAAGCATTTATAATAGTACCGCCATGGAGGGGAGTGGGCGGGGTATCTGGGGCTTGGTCATGCTGTGTTTAAAGAAGCAAGGGCAGTGTCAAAATTAGATATAGATTAGGTTGGGTTGCCAGTGAAAAGGGTTAGCAGCAACAGCAAAGCTGCATGTAAGGCTGAAAGTAGGGTTAGGAATAGGAGGAGGGTTAGGAGTTGGGAGTTAGGGTATGGGTATAAGTAGGATTAGGATAAGTGGTTTGTAGGATGAGGTGGTTTGATGACCAGTCTGAGAGGAACATTGGTGTTGGAAAAACTTGAAGGAAAATTGTATTGCTTAAATGGGCAATGTTTTTAGATTATATTGTAGATGAACCTAAAAGTTCCCATATACTTGCCTACTACCTGCTATCCAAAAGTGTGACATCTGCTCCCAGAATACCTATGCACATGCATTGCTCTGTTTCCTGTTTTTCTGATAAAAATGCTTTGTTTCGTTTATTTGAGTCCCATTCACAGTATGTTGTGATTTTTCTGAACATCCTTGTTTAATCAGCCTTGCGCCCTATCTCACTGACTCACAATAATGAAGTGATAAATTCTGTCAAGTTTGACTGTAAGTTAAAGTCTCTCTTGGCAGAAATGTTTGTTCTGATTTTGACCCCAATTTCTGATATATCATAACACTGTAAGCTATTGACCTTGTGTCTGGTATGGTGTCCCTTCTCAAGCAGCAAACCAGAGTTTGCCTGTCACTTTTGGAATGTGTCCGGAGTTGGGAGTCGTAGAACATACACACATCCTACTATGCCTGATAGCAGTCAATTTCTAAGTTACTGCCAAAACTGGTGAAGTGTTCTTAAAAACTGCAGATTGCGTGAAAGTCAATCTTGATGCATTGTATGATAAGGAATGCAGAAAATTTGTCATATTCAGGTACACAAATCTCAATAATTTTCCATGGGAATGTATCGGGTTATCGCTAAATCCACACAGTTGATGTCTCGAACCAGGGAAAAGAGAAAGTCTGGTAGGATGCAACCAGAGTTGATTGACGTCACGGTGGGGGCACCCCCGGCGAGCGTAGCAGGCAGCGGTGGCATCTGCCAGGGATTGTAGGAGGCAGCGGTGGCAGCTGCCAGGGAGTAGGGCAGCGGTGGCAGCTGCCAGGGATTGTAGGAGGCAGCAGTGGCATCTGCCAGGGAGCGTAGCAGGCAGCGGTGGCAGCTGCCAGGGAGCGTAGCAGGCAGCGGTGGCAGCTGCCAGGGAGCGTAGCAGGCAGCGGTGGCATATGCCAGGAGTTAGAGCAGCGTGTAGGGACATGCCCCAGCAGCCACGAGGAGCTCCCTGGCAGCACGGTGGCTGGCAGCTGCCAGGGAGCGTAGCAGGCAGCGGTGGCATATGCCAGTGAGTATAGAAGGCAGCGGTAGTAGCTGCCAGGGAGTGTAGGAGGCAGCAGTAGTAGCTGCCAGGGGGCGCAGGAGGCAGCGGTAGTAGCCGGGGAGGGTAGGAGGCAGCGGCGGCATCTGCCAGGGAGCGTAGGGGGCAGCAGTGGCACCCGCCAGGGAGCGTAGGAGGCGGTGGTGGCATCTGTCAGGGAGCGTAGGAGGCGGTGGCAGCCGCCCCAGCCACCTCCCGATAATGGTTTACCAATTCATCCTATGATGATGCTTGGCAAGAAACGGAGCCGATGCTGCGCTTGCTTCCGCCTCCGCAGTCGCGGTCAGGGACGAGGTCTTTCGCCGTCGTTCGTAAAGAATGATCCACTTGTCCCGTGCTCGCCATGGCCGGGTTGGCAGCTTGCCAAACATCGGGTCACCGTGGCAAACGTGGCGAACGTCCGCGGGTGAAGCACAAATATGTGTGGAAAGACTTCGGGTCCAACGTTTCTGAACAAGTCAGTTACTGGCACGTTGGTCACCTGACATGTGATATGGACGGAGCTTTGAACGCTTGTCCCCCCCCCCCCCCGAAAAACAGACGGCAGGTATAGATAAAATCACACAGAACACCCGTGGATCGTGCGATTAAAACACGATTCATTACATGTGATGTATGGCGTTCTTTAATATACGGTGTCCTATGTCAGTTCAAACAGCCATTAAAAATATAAGTAATATGATTGATTGAAGCGCATGGTAAGTATGCGACTAAGGACAGCTAGCATATATTAAGTATGGTGGCTGCTAAAGTCTAGAGTATTTGTAGTGCGCAGGTTATACATTATGCTACTCGAGACATTGTGCTTAACGTGATACATACCCTTATTTAAGACGCTTGCGTGAGCCGCATTGTGTACACACTGACACGTTGAAGCGTATATCCATATTTAGATGTGCATTGCCTATGAAAAATACTGACCATCGTTAAACGCATGCGGACACGTGCGTTTCTAAGTCATGCTGTGAACATGAGTCAAGCACGGTTTTGGCGTCAATGCGGAACGTGGCGCATGTTTTCTGGGCTCATTCAGGCAAGGAATTAATAACCGCCTCTCCTATGTAATCCCTCCTGTGTGTGATCCTTCAGCTGTGCATTCGTTTGGCGCAACCTAGGATTACCGCTGTATTGAATTCACCTCGGACAAGTGTATGCTCTCAACGTACGACCTATAAGCAATTTTCTGTCCCAGATGATAATGCGTGGACATGAGACGGTTCGACCTTTCGTCCTGCGACTCGACTTTCGACAAGCTTGTGATCAAACTTTAACTTATCAGAAAAATGAGATCCCAACGCAGATTAAAGGGAATGTTCCACTTTTCTTCTTTTCACCTTTGTGACATCAGACGCGTACAATTTGATTGCTGATACCAGTCTCGTAATCCTTATGAATTCAGAATTTTGGTTTTAAGTAGCCGACCCTGCGGGAGAAATATTATTTGAGTCCCTGCTCACTTCTGTGAAAGTAACACATTTCACTTGCATTTATTTTTCCGAGGCGTGTGTTCTGTGATGTTTTGACCACAGTAATGTAGCAAAATGTTTGTGTAATAAATAATACGAAAGCTCGAAACATTCTGTTTAGACAAAAAGATATGCGATCATGCAGCCATTATATCGCGAATTCAGCGAATCGTTGTACTACGGCTTTGATTTCTTCCCGATGGCGTTTACCGCAGTGATCCTTTTCGAGGTGCACTTTGGCTTTGGGAATGGGAATATCGCTGGATCCTTGTGCCGCGCTGGTTCAAACGTCAACCAATTAACTTGTTGGTAACAGGCCCTTGCTCGCTGGATCAATCACAAGCGTTCTTTTATTCGCATCAATAGAGGACGTGCGCACGGTCGTTATCATGACGATGGTCGCGGCTGGGTGTGTGAGAAGGGAAGGGGAAGAAACGTAGTGCTGTTAAAAAGCGTGGAAAGCGTAATTTGGACTTGAAAATAATTGAATTGCTTTCACTATGATGTCCGGACGGTGCTGCAGTGGCACTACCGAGTGCTATTTTTAGGACGGAACTAATCGTAAGATTTCATTAGAGTATGTCTTTTGGAATGTACCCCAAAGATTGGACGCTCCCTTTAATTGAGACAATGTAGAAAAGTGCGGGAGCCAACATGCTGCGATATATGGGTGTGTGAGGTGGTATCATGAATGAGGGATGGCCCAACCCCTTAAATGAGCCATTCAGATCATTTTAACGCGTTGTGTGAACCAAAGCTGCCGCCCTATGCGGGCCGAACACTCATGGCAGTGTGTAAGATGGCCATCTTCGGCAAACCAAATAAGGTGATAACTACTGGGCACGAAACCGCATTTCTGCCACACATTAGTCAGGCATTAGTGCCATGTCAACACTGGTTGCACGAATGTATTGATTACCCGTGCTGTGCATTGTTTTCAAAAGTTTGTTACAGACATCATGTCCAGTGTAAACAAATATTCATTCTCATCAAAAAGCCAGCGCATGGGGGTGAATTGACTGCAAAGTTTAAAATTTACCAGTTGACGTTCGGTACGTTTACGTTGAAAGCATGAAAATCCTGTTGGCGGCTTGTTTGTGTAATCGGTGACTGCTTTACCTGTATTTGTCTTAGTTAAAGGGTGATGACGGACGTATGTAAAAGGCTATTGTTGTTTTTCTTATGGACATGCAAAGGTTAGCCGATACGTACTGCAAAGTTTAACTTGACCCTCATTTCAGAAAATCCAGTGTGATCAGTGCAACTATCAAGGCACGAAAAGGGCGTTGTCGGTGCACCGTTCGAAGAAGCATCGTGATCAGTCCCGGGCTAATCAGGCAAGTTCGACGTGGCGTCGTGCATTCTTTGCTTCGTGCGTGATTTCGGTGTGTTCGCAAGGACGGTTTTTCGAAATAAAACCAAGCGCATTACACATGCTGCTTCCGTTCAGTGACATCTGTGAAGTGTCTGGACGGTGGGCGTGACAAGTTGATCTGGCGCGACAAGTTGATCGTGACAAGTTGATCAACGGTCCGGTCCGTGCAATGTCAACATTTGGCGCTGGACGGGCGAGGTGGGAACGGAAAGGAAGGTAACACTGGTTTAGCGCCTCATTCGTTTGCTATTTCTACCTGTTGTGAGAGTTTGGTTCTCTTGGAGCCACAGTGACGTAGCGTGGCGTGCGCTGCGTTACAGAACGACTTGCGAAGTCTCAAGTAAACACGGGGTTGTAAGCCGAGCGAGACTCGTGATTGAGCGTTTTTCTTCTTCTTTTTTTTGCCTCCGCGCTCCGCCCCAGCCTAAAGCCGACCGTAACGTTCTTTACAAGTGCTATAATCAGAGGTGCTAAACGCAGCTCCATGCAGCTTTCAGTAGCTGTTCTTGCGATGCGCTGAACATACGTTGCCACATTTGCAACGCGTTGCTTTAGAAGCCGTGCTGCCAGGCGTGGTTTCCATGCAGGGCTGCATTGTACCAGATTTTGTTGGGAAAGGATATTGTGTAACAGGCCAGTCGTAAGTTTTCTGGTGTAATGACCAGTAACGCACCTTTTTGCGACTTGGGGAGATGATGATTTTTTACTCCAAAAGTAGGCAAAAAGTAGGTCGCCTTAAGGCCCCGCGCGAGTATGCCGGATCAGTTCTCTGGAACACCCTCCTTTAATGCGTTTGCCAAGCGGAAATGAAATGATGCACAACGTCCGTGGCGTCCGCTCGTAAACTTACAGCTGATCGTTCTGGAATGCTGGCTGGCTTGGGTTAGGCAGTTTTGATGAGTGGTGGGGATTGATGTAAAAATGTTGCGATCCCGGCGACTGTACCAAAAAGCTACGGAAGCCGCTAATTTTAGCGTGGCCATTGTCGGTACTAAATTGGGATGTGCGCCCACCCATATTTCGCTGCCTATTTTCCTGCAGCTTAGACCATAACGTTTTGTGTTTGAGAGCGGTTTTGGAAAAGGGAACATCAGCTGCTTCCCGGTGTAACGGTCTTTTATTGGCGCGCATATGAATCCGACAGTCTTGCGATCTCACACTTGCGTTGGGTACATCCGCCGACATCGTGTGGCTGCCTCTACGTCTTTGTTTACTTTGTTTGCCGAGACACAAACACGCAGAGTACCCCGAAATGGTCCAATCCATGGTGTGCGCACGGCAGCGAGTGACGGTGTGCACATATTGACGTACACCTGTGTCGACAAGATTGTCCAATGTCTTCTCAGTCAGGACTAATTAGTCTCACGTCGCCGCGTCGTGCTGCGCCTCGCGTTCTTGCGGAAATCTGGACCTGTTTCCAACCCGTGTGTGCTTTAGCTGTTTTTTCGTGTTTTTTTTAACTGTTACTTTTTGTATGTTGGTCGAATGAGGACGTGAACTAACGGTGACATTGCAACGTTGCAGAATTCATGGCGTGATCAAGCAGCGTGCATCTCAGTGCCTGTAAGGTATCACAGTATAATTTTGAAGTTTTCACTCAGCCATCCACTCGACCAGAAGACGTCATCTTGAAGCTCATCACTCAGCATGCTGTCCCGAACAGGTGTGCCAGGAGCTGTTGGACGACAGGCCGTGCGCGGAGGCGTTCTTCTCGGTGGTCGGCCTCAGGCACCACCTGGCCATGCGTCACAGCATGGATGCCGCGACACATTGCCTCGTCGAGGAGTTCAAAACGCTGGATGGTGGGTAGATACAGCGCTGTTTCGCTCGTATTCGCTATTGAAGTTACTATCAAAATCACCCACTGAATGCGTGCTCCATTTCACCCCCGATGTCATGATCGAAGTTATGGGAGATAAACTTGTAAGTTAACAAGTCTGTAGCGTGTATCGGTGGAATGATCCGTGGTATGATTTGTATGTATCCATGGCAGTAAAAATGACCTACTTCTACTGTATCTGACATGTTCTTTCTGCTTAACATGCCACCGTTAACAATGAGCATCTGTGCCTGTTTTTCTGGCCGTAAGCGGCACACCCCTCGTAGATCGACCAGCAATGTCGTTCCACATCGATTCACAATTTCTTGAAACTGTTTGCTATAATCGCCCTGATGGCCTTTTCAGATCCGTTGTCCTGATTAGTCATTTTCTGGTTATAGGACGTCCATGCCTTCGAAATCGTGCTCCTTTCTCTAAAACATACAACAGCGTCCCCATGGCACCTCGGCCAGGCAATGTAGTGGACAAAGCGCTTATCACGACTGTCACCGGAGGGAAGAAACACCGGCTTTGGGGCGCAGTAGTTCACTGAGTTTGAGACTCACTTGAAGCTTCGCGAATCTCATACAATGGGGGGGGGGGGGGGGACGGAACAATATCTTTAGTACTACTTGGACATACGGCTGGAACAAAATTGTCGCCTACAGTCCGGATCACTGGGTGGTCGTGTCATTGACCACGCGGCAGGCTGCGCGTGGCAAGGATTTTTCTCAGCATCACTCACAAACAATCCATGCGTTTCAATTTCTTTAAACGGACTGCACAAATCTCACTCCTCGTGTTTATTCGTGGTGATATTTGGTGATCGTGCTTAGGACGTGACCACAGCATGGACAGAATCAAAAATGCCAGTGCATTTATATAACCCAAAAATCAGCAATGTGCCATAAACATTGCGTTGAAATAGCGAAGAGACTGGCATAATTTGTGCTCCACGACGAGCCACTGCTTGACTGACTCCCCACCCCGTCCACTGGCTGGTCTGCCCCTCTTGACAGTGCCGACATTACCCACGCAAACGACCGGTCTCAGAATCAAAATGTGGCTACCGTATTCTAGGCCTAGGCGTATGCTAGATCCTGAAGAAGAAAACGTTTCAGAATTCCAGAGCTGGAAGTCCCAGTATGAGGTGCGGAGCGGGGCGGTGTATAACATCGCCACCAGCCGACCCAAGAAGGGCACGACCGCCTGCTACCTGTGCTCCCGCTCCGGGGTGTACACACCGGCCGACTGCCGGAAGAGGCGGCTCAAGTCGCAGGGCACGTGCAAGTTAGGCCGGCGCTGCACGTCCGACTTGGCCGTGACGACCCGCGAGGATGGCACGGTGCTGGTGAAGATGCACACCTTCCACTACGGCCACGGCTTGGACGACGGCGACGTGCCTCACGTCAGGATCCCCAGCGCCCATAAGGCCATCGTTAAAGGTGAGAGTGCTGGAGGGGGACTCCTGTGTCGTTGTATGCTCCGTTGTGGCGCGGACTGGCCTGTGTTGCACCGGCGCCTAGAAAAGTAGCAGTCGGCGCCAGGGGCAAAATACGCCAGCATCCTTGATGCTGAGCTGCTTCTACGCGGAGAAAATTACAGTGACCGGCGTCAGCGATTTCCATCTTGAAGAGTCGAAAGATTCGGTAAGAGTAATGTTACTGCTGAGCAGTTCTAATTCTCAGGACCAGAGTCACATCACTCCTGCGAGATCTTTTGATTTTGGAGCCCGGAATCACCAATTCTGGCCGATGTATTTTCAACTCATTGCACAGAATAGCCGCAATCAGACAGGCAGTAAAATGCGATTTGGCTACTCTGTAATGGCTACAATCTGTGTGGGTCAGTATCGCCGTTCCCCGGACATTTCCAGAGAAGCTCCTCTCCGGCGTGCCGGTTTCGCGCATCATCAAGGACGCGCGTGAGTCGGCAGGCGGCGACAGCGGTGTGGGCACCAGCCGAATCGCGCTGCTCCGGCGCAAGGACGTACTCAACATGTGCCAATCTCTGGGCATCACCGCCGCGCCAGACCGCGCCGCCAGGAGCCGCAAGCGCAAGGTCAGGGAGAGGGAGTGCGCGGAAGGATCGTCGTCCTTGGACCAGCTGTCGGCCGAGGAGTCGGCATCGTCGGACCAGGTCGGTTACACGGACTAAGCCCTTACATGCAGTGCTTTGGGAGTTGCGTATGGGGAGAGTTTGACCGCGGCACGATGATCCGTCTGAGCGCTCTTTTGACTCTTGCACCATAATCCGTGCAAACGCTGCTTTGAGTGTGATGCCATGATTCTCTCTCTCTCTCTCTCTCTCTCTCTCTCTCTCTCTCTCTCTCTCTCTCTCTCTCTCTCTCTCTCTCTCTCTCTCTCTCTCTCTCTCTCTCTCTCTCTCTCTCTCTCTCTCTCTCTCTCTCTCTCTCTCTCTCTCTCTCTCTCTGTCTCTGTCTCTGTCTCTGTCTCTGTCTCTGTCTCTGTCTCTGTCTCTGTCTCTGTCTCTGTCTCTGTCTCTGTCTCTGTCTCTGTCTCTGTCTCTGTCTCTGTCTCTGTCTCTGTCTCTGTCTCTGTCTCTGTCTCTGTCTCTGTCTCTGTCTCTGTCTCTGTCTCTGTCTCTGTCTCGTCTCTGTCTCTGTCTCTGTCTCTGTCTCTGTCTCTGTCTCTTGTCTCTGTCTCTGTCTCTGTCTCTGTCTCTGTCTCTGTCTCTGTCTCTGTCTCTGTCTCTGTCTCTGTCTTGTCTCTGTCTCTGTCTCTGTCTCTGTCTCTGTCTCTGTCTCTGTCTCTGTCTCTGTCTCTGTCTCTGTCTCTGTCTCTGTCTGTCTCTGTCTCTGTCTCTGTCTCTGTCTCTGTCTCTGTCGCTGTCGCTGTCGCTGTCGCTGTCGCTGTCGCTGTCGCTGTCGCTGTCGCTGTCGCTGTCGCTGTCGCTGTCGCTGTCGCTGTCGCTGTCGCTGTCGCTGTCGCTGTCGCTGTCGCTGTCGCTGTCGCTGTCGCTGTCGCTGTCGCTGTCGCTGTCGCTGTCGCTGTCGCTGTCGCTGTCGCTGTCGCTGTCGCTGTCGCTGTCGCTGTCGCTGTCGCTGTCGCTGGTCGCTGTCGCTGTCGCTGTCGTCGCTGTCGCTGTCGCTGTCGCTGTCGCGTCGCTGTCGCTGTCGCTGTCGCTGTCGCTGTCGTGTCGTCTCTCTCTCTTCTCTCTCTCTCTCTCTCTCTCTCTCTCTCTCTCTCTCTTCTCTCTCTCTCTCTCTCTCTCTCTCTCTCTCTCTCTCTCTCTCTCCTCTCTCTCTTTCTCCTTCTCTTTCTCTTTCTCTCTCTCTCTCTCTAACGCGCGAGATACACCGGCCCGATGAGGCTTCTTCATGGAGGACGCGAAGAGACCCGATCGGCGCGCGGTAAATCTGGGGCACCCAAGATGCGCGCTACGCGCGGCGCAGGCGACTGACCTGTCTTGAAAACAGACTGTCATTGATAGCCGGTTAAGTGTTAGTATAGCCCCACGGCGTGGGTATTCACTGGCCATTGCAGCTGTCCGTGCTGCACAGCGTCACCCTGCAGGTCGCATACACGCAACGCAACGGGAAATCGCCCCTGGCCCGTGACTCCTCACAGCGACCTCAGTAAACAGAGTCATGAGTCTGTGTAGTACATGTGAAGTGACCTGTGACCACATGTGGAGGTGCCTGGAGCGTAATTCCTGGTGCCGGTTTTGCGCAGGTGGCGCCTCAACTCAGCCTGCTTGACACCCGCCCTCCAGACGTCGTTCCACGAGGTGCACCGGGCTCGGCGGCCCAGCCCGCGGACCAATCAGCTCGCGGCAGCACCTACCGGCGGCGCGTGCTGGCCAAGTACTCGGAGCAGTCTGCCCGCATCTCCGCACTGCCCGATGACGTGCTGGCACAGGTATACGCCAAGCTGAGAGAGGTGGACCAGCTGACAGCACAGGCCGCCATCGCGGACTCGCACGGGCTCCCTGCTGCCATCGGGGACTCGCACGGCCTCCGTGCTGCCATCGGGGACTCGCACGGTCTCCCTGCTGCCATCGGAGACTCGCACGGGCTCCCTGCTGCCATCGGGGACTCGCACGGTCTCCCTGCTGCCATCGGGGACTCGCACGGTCTCCCTGCTGCCATCGGGGACTCGCACGGCCTCCGTGCCGCCGCCGCCGACACAGAGGAGCACGCTTGGAACGCGGCGGCGTGCCAGCCGAAGCGTGCACGGCTCCAGTTCATCGCGGACGGAGTGGATGGGGTACTGCCGTGGGACATCATCAACCCCCTCTCTGGTGGCGATGTTCGTGTAGAGAGGGTCCCTCAGAGCCAGCCGGATCATTCTTACTAGGGGCCCTTTACCTCTCGGCCTGCGGTGTGGACATGAGCCCGCTGTGGCGACGGCTGTCTTTTGTACCGGCCATCGGCGGCCGCAGTGACCGACATTCATCCCGTGGGCTCTTCATTTTTCAGTTCATATCGTCGCGTTTCATGGTGTTTTGGCGTTGAGGTGTGATGTGGCGCGGCGCTCTCCTCTGGGCGGAGCCGTCCTTGGGTGCCGCGCTAGCCGATCGTAGATGGGTACGATAGGTTCACGGTGGACCAGTGGACTGTCTGTGGTGTAGTGTGGAACTGCCATCGTTGTGAAACCCCGTCAATGTTTGTTCAGGATGGTCATAAAGCTGTTGCCCGATCGAGTTTAATGGAAAAAGGTTCACGACTTGCCCATCTCTAACTTGGAATGAGGTCGGTTAAAACATGGGTTGAAATGCAAGCACACAGCGTAGCTCGGACAGAACTACAATGGCGCGTGGTCTGACGTCACAACAGAGCTGTTCTCACCTGGCCGTGAGCCAGCGGGCACTGTCCCCGACCCCGACCCCCTTGAAAGCATGGAGCTTGAGCTCATAGGCCACTGATAGGTTCATGTGCCTTTGGAGTGGCGTACGTCATGAAAAACTGCTGAGGGATACGGCTGAACAATTATGCTGAAGCTTGACACCAGGGGGCGTAAAGTGAAACGTGTTAGGAGCAGCCACTCGGCCATGACTTACACAACAAACACCTTGATGCAAGATTGGGATACAGAACCGCCTGCGGAATGCACTCATTCGGAATTATTGCCTGTTGGCCGCCCAACCGACCGACAGATGCTCTCAGGCTATCAAGCAGCTATCATGTCATGCCCTCCTCCCCGAGCAGCAAGCCCAGCCCGGCAAGTCCTGCCCACCTGCAGCATCCATCCAAGATACGCGGTGTACCTTGCAATTTCGGGCGCCACGGCCTGGGGACAGAGCCGTCGCTTGTTGGAATTTGACGGAGCTTTTTGAGAGATGGCGCCAGGATTAACTTGTTAGACGTGACGCGAGTGAGTGGTAACGTGAGAATATCCCGCTAGACGGCCTAGCCGGGTGTCAGTAAAGTTGACGATTCATTCGGCGATGAGCTCCTGTTTCCCTGAAAACATCGGATGGTGAATTTTTGCATGCAGACATCAAAATGACATTTATTTTGCAATATCATTTGACGTTCAAGGTAAAAAGCCGGGATAAGGGACGGAGAACTCCATATCCTCAATAAATTTTCTGCCAATTCCAAATTTTCAAGCACAGTAATATTCACTTCAGAAGGAGTCAGTGTCCGTAAAAACTCCTGACCTTTCAATGTTGCCTTGCATGGTCATGTTTCCACGTCATCAGAAATTACTGTCCAGTTCCAACTTTTGGAGCATTTGAATATTCATCAGCCCGTGAACTAGCCTCTATCAAAATGTCCCGTGCTCTCAAGGTCGCCATTCAAGGTCAAGCAAAGGCCCAATTGACGGGGAGCTCCATATCACCAAAAAATTACCGGCCGATTTTATACGTTCTGGCACCAGTATATTCGCCACTGAAGCAAAAAACATCCGCCAGAAAGTCTTTACCTCTCAAGATCACCCATCAAGGTCAAGCTCAGTCTCAAAGGACGGAGAAGGAAATATCGCCCACAAATGACTGGCCGATTTTAGATTTGAGGTCGTGAGAGGTCAGGACTTTTTGACAGACTCTATTAAGTTCGAGTGCCGGTAAATGCTCCGGTGTATGAAAAGTTGAAATTGGCCGGTAATACTTCAGTGATATAGAATTCCCCGTCATTTGAGCCGAGTCTGACATTGGAGGGTCGCCTTGAGAGGTTAAGGGGCTTTGACAGACGATTGTCCATTAGCTAGTGGATATTCTGATCCTTTACAAGTTGAAATCGATCTGTAATGCTTTGGTGATATGGAGTTTACCGTCATATGAGCCTTAGCTTTGCCTTCAAGAGTAATCTCAAGAAGACACTATTTCCCACTGTGGTAAATTTTCTGTTGCTTTCAAATTCAAAATCATCCGGTTTCGGTGATATGGAGTTCCCCGCCCTTTGAGCCTGGGCTTGACCTTGAGGTGTGAGGGCGTTTTGACGGACGCTAGCTCATGCACTGTTGAATGTTTTGATGCTCGGAAAAATGAGATAGACCGGCAATTTTTGTGATGTGTAGTTCCCCGTCATTTCAGCCTGACCTTGATCTTTAAGGGTGACTTTTGACAGATCAGGACTTTTACGGATGCCAGTTCATGCGCTGGTCAATATTCTAATGGCTGAGCGGTTTAAATCAGCTAGCAAGTTATTGTTAATATGGAGTTCCTCATCATTTGAGCCATGGCGTGACTTTGAAGGGTAACTTCGGAAAGTCAGAACTTTTTGGCGGACGTCAGTGCATGCCCTGGTGAATGTCCTGACGCTTGAAAAGTTGACATCGGCTGGTAACTTTTTGGTGATGTTGAGCTGCCTGTCATTTGGGATTTTGATTGACGTTGAAGAGTAACCTGGTGAGGCCAGGCACTTTTTGACGGACGCTTTTTCCTTCTGTGGTAAACATTCTGGCGCTTGCAAATTTATTACCGGCCGGCAATTATTTGTTGCCATGGAATTCCCCGTCCTTTGGGCTTAAATTTGATCTGGGGTGGTGACCTTGAGAGGTTAGGACTTTTTGACAGACGTTAGTTCATGCGCTCTGGTGAATATTCTGATTCTTTAAAGTTGAGATTGGTTTCACCTCGTACTTATCGTAATCCTCCACACACCATCGGAGACAATGAAACTCAACCATGGACTCCAAGAACATAGAGTGCGGATCAAATTGGGATCAAAGCTGTGTATTGACGTGACCAAACCACACTCGCCTGGAAATGTTCAACCATCATTCAGAATCAAACAACAAATTCAGCAAGCCAGTTATAAATATGCCGCAAGTCTTAGAAACACAAACCCCGACGTTCGGCGTTGCAGTCACCGACGACGCACGGCGTCGCCCTTCCCCCCCCCCCCCCCCCCGCGATCACCGGGCAGTAGCCAACGGGCGGACGAGAACGGCTACACATATAAAAACGTACCTTTTTGAACGCTTTAGGACATCAGGGACTATGTTTGAAACGCAGTCAGGGCGAATATTTCACCTATACAATATTTGGATTGATAATAGGAACGAATTGGTATCTACAGCACCGCTAAATTGTATTGGAATTTGGTGGTGTGACTGGAATGGTGAAGAAAAATCTCTATTGTCTCGTGGTGCTGTAACCGTTAAGCTGTTCAGAGGAAAACATTAAAAACTTAAAGGTGAAATATGTGTCCCAGTCTAATCTGTGAGCGATATGACCCAATTTTGAAAGCCTTGAAAGGATTATTTCGCGACGCTCATTCTCTCGGGTGCGCCCGGCGCCCGATGGTTGGTGACGTCTGCAGCGGCCAGCGCCGCTCGGCTTTATGGAAACTGCAGCCTCGGCCTATCGGTGTCCTTGCTCCGAAGACTGCGAGTGCGCAGGCTCATAAGTGTTCGTTGCAATATGCTTCACTGATGTATTTTGCAATAGGATGCCCATAATTATTTGGGTAGGCATGGTTTGGCCTTCTCTGCTGTTTTCTTTACTTCGTTTTGACTCACTCTTTTGGAACTTATGAGACTCTTCCGCTAATCCGGGCAACGACAAACTTGTTATTAAATCGATCTATGCTCTAACTTGCAACATCGCTGAATTATGTCAAAACACCCAGACAATAACACAAAACTTGATCAGAGTTATCAAGACAAAACTTCGCAAAATTAACAACTGTGCAATTAAGATATGCAGAATGCAGCAAAAACAGGAAAATGCTCCAAAAAACATGGTACGAATGCGGACCTCTAAAAGTTTGAGGAACTCCGTCAACTGCACTCAACTGAAATTAACATCGCAGTTAACACGCTCATTATCCCTTCTACCTGTGAAACAACTGTAAGAAATTTAAGAATTGTCATACTTCTGAGCTTTCTCTTTTAACATATTACTTGCACACATACTTAGGCTCCGGAAGGTCGGGAGGGGGCAAACACACCGTTGGGGAGAGAGAAAATTAGACTTTGGTGGTTAGTGGCCTACCCAAAAGTATGCAAATCAATCGACACCCATGATGGTGGGACAAAGCTACATGCACCTAGGGTCCCGACGCCGAAACTTGGCCCGCTCACGGACCTTACAGGGGTACGTGCTCGGCGCCATCGCGGGATCTTCACCAGTGACACTTCAGTCAACTCATGGCTGGTGCATATCGCTTGCCCTGGTCAAAGAACACGTTATAAGGATGCAGGATAAAGTGAAGATGAGGAAAGAAGGGCGGATGGCGGGCGACTTTCTTCCGGACACCATCGTGGTGCATGCCAGCACATTCTGGCGGGAGGCGACATCATGGAAGTTTGGTCCAGGTACATGGGACAATCCATTTTAGGAAGTATTACATGTCACCACCAGCTGGTATGACTGTGTGCGTTACCACAGTTGCCCTTTCAAATCTTAAATACTCATGATTTAATGGTAGACCGGCTGTTTCAGTGAAGCCTGTCCTGAGGTTCGGAAAGCAAGCGCGTACCTTTCGCGAATCGCAGCTGCATATTTCAGTCACTAGATAGCAGCAGCGTCGCCGTCCGTGTCTGCGCTGCCGCGACCATGGACCGTGGGAACGGGAATCGGGGAGCCGTCTTTGTCCGCAGGCCGACACCAGTGGAGCGAGTGACGAGGGGGAGCACGAACACCGCCAGTGACCGCTTCTCACACCCCTCAGCGCGTGGGACTTCCATCGCCGCCACCGCGCCGCCCCCGTCTGTCCGTCCTCCGTCCGCCTGTTGCCGCTGCTCCCTCTGCCATCCGGTGTGAGCCAGTCGAGCCCTGGGCCGGCCGGTCAGGTGCATGCTCGCCACGTGCGGGCGCTGGAAACTGGAGCGTGGTGTTTAGTGCGCGGCTGGCGGCGTGTCGGGTGGGAGCCTGGGCACTGGCCGAGTGGAACTCGTCGCGAGACTGACCCGAGGCGCCTGGGACGGAAGGGGCGCGGACGGTTGGACGTGGCTCCCTTTGCGAGGGCGTCGGTCCCGAGGAGTGCCGCGAGGGCGTGGAGCTCAGCGGAGTCGCTCGCGGTTGACGTCGGTGCGACACTAGCATGCCTCTGTAGCGCGCGGCAGCCGTGATGCCAAGTCCGGTCCAGATGAAGATCACCTTGCTGTTGCTTGCGCTGCTGGAGCGCTCGGTGGCGCTCAACGAGAATGGTGAGTACGCCTGTCGCCCGTGGCAGTGTCGGCGGCAATTACTGCTGGCTGCGTTTGATCTCATGGGCGAGTTGTACCTTACGTAGCATCTGTTCGCATGCATGGCATAACCGCATCTGCATCAAGAGCGGATGGCAGCGGTCACTGCCGCTGGTCTCGGCCCCTTGATCCGGATGTGATCTACATTATGTACACTGGCAAATTATGTATTGGTGAACAGGTCTCCCGTGTTGATCTGGATCTACCGAACCTCTCTGTAGTCTCTTGAGGTTTAGCCTATCAAAAACATCTCACATGAATAAACTTGACTTCCTTTCGAAGGCACTAGACATCTGAGTGGAGGTTTGAATGCATTAACAACTGGGATTTTCAAGACATCGGCCCAAAATTGCGATAGTGAAACTATTGCAAATCGATTTATAAGCCATCGCTCCCACGTCAATTCCTGACGTTTCTTTTGTTGCAGCATAAGACGTGTTTTGGTTGGCACGTGCCTTTCAGTCTCCAGAGGACGTGGATCAAACCGCCTTGTACCCACTTTGTTGCCTGTTTTGGACGCAGTGTTCCAAATTGTGATCTCGAGTGGGTATCATACGTCACATCACCTACTGGTGCAATGTATGTAACGGTAGCTGGGCTAAATTACGCCCTCCTGGCACCTTTCTTTTGGTAGCTTTTTGTTAGTGAGAATTCGCGAGACATCGTCCACGAGAACGAATATGTGCGTTTCACATCATGCCTATTGAAAAACGATATTATGCGGAACACCCCAGAGCTCGCTTTTGGAAACCGCACTTGGCTTTTGAGCCGGATGTGCAAATGAGGGGCTCAACGCAGGGTGGACTGAAAGACATAATGTTGGAAAGGCAGTTGAACACTTCAGGGCATAACGCTGCACTGGAGAGACCGAGCAAGCCACCCAACTGGTGGCACACTTACATTTTCCAGCATTCCGAGTTCAGACGTTTAACCTGGGTCACGCTGCAAGTCAGGAACACTGTTTAAATTGCCGATTAACGAGTTTCGTCTTGGGCTTCACCCATGCAGTATCAGCTTCCGGTTCTCGGAGCCAGTTTCCCCGTCATGAGGCCCTATCTGCTGCGTTACGTGCGCAGCATTCATGTTTGCACGGCGGAATAATAGAATCCAACTTGGAAAACATAATGGCTATGTAAAAGCCAAACTCACTGTTACACACAGTTTATAATCCAAGCACACAATGCTCATTATACCCAGCGATGCTATCATGGTCACAATGGTCTTTGTACAATGAGTGGCGAACGTGACGTCGGATTCCCCACACAGCGGCTCCTTAGTCGAGCAACATGTACCGCCCCGGCAAAACAGAGCCCGGCCCGGACCACTAGCATGCCGGTCACGATTGGTGGGAGCGAACCGGCAACGGTGCACGATAACTGTGAGCCAATATTGCCTCTAATAATGATCACCTGGTAAGTAAGGTGCCAATGGTCTCCGCTCAAAGGTCCTGCTAGAACCGTAGCCACTGGATGCAGGGGAGAGCCGGCGTTCCGTGGCGACCGATTCTCGGACCCCTGGCCTCCTGACGTGCGGGCTCGTGCGCTGCCGCCCGCGTCGCACCTGAAGGTGGCCGCCCCCCAGCCAACAGCGCTGACCGGCCCCGAGCGGCCCGCTGCTGGCGCGTCACGACCTCGGGGCCGTGCAGAGGGCACGGGCGGAAGGCGTGCGCTTCCGGAGCGCGAGCCGGGCGCCACCCGCCCGGATGTGGTCCGGTGGGGTTCCGGCCTCAGTGGAGCGAACGGGTGGCGTCACGAACGGGCGTTAATTGCCGCCATCCTCACTTGCGGAAGAGCGCAGCAAGGGTCGAGCCAGGTCAGGCTGCTCACACGGACCGGCCTGGGTCAGGTCAGACTGATCGCACAAACCGGCCTGGGTCCGGTCAGACTGACCACACGGATCGGCCTGGATCGGGTCAGACTGATCACACGGACTGGCTGGGGTCAGATCAGTCTGATCTCACGGACCGGACTGGGTCAGGTCAGACTGATCACACGAACCGACCTGAGTCCGGTCAGACTGATCACACGAATCGGCCTGGATCGGGTCAGACTGATCACACGGATCGGCCTGGATCGGGTCAGACTGATCACACGGACTGGCTGGGGTCAGCTCAGTCTGATATCACGGACCGGACTGGGTAAGGTTAGACTGATCACACGAACCGGCCTGAATCCGGTCAGACTGATCACACGGATCGGCCTGGATCGGGTCAGACTGGTCACACGGATCGGCCTGGATCGGGTCGGACTGATCACACGGATCGGCCTGGATCGGGTCAGACTGATCACACGGACTGGCTGGGGTCACCTCAGTCTGATATCACGGACCGGACTGGGTCAGGTCAGACTGACCACACGAACCGCATTTGTTACCTCGAATCGACTAGATCATGTCTCTTTGCGCTCCAACCATTCCGATTTAGGTTCTGCAGCGGTGAATACCCTGTCGCGGCTTTCTGTGACAGTGTGCTAATCCGTGACGTTTTGCCGAACATGGATCGTGCAAGCTTCCTTTATCAGTTGTTTGAAGTA